GTATTTTAATGCTTTATCTAAAATGAGAGCTAAAATAAATAAAAACAACAACACCTTTCACTTTGTAAAAAGAAATTTTTAAATTATTGTTTTTTATTCCAAAATCCCAAAGTTCAATAATCTCAGAAAATTTATTTTATTTTTGTAGTATGAGTGCTAATAAAATCAATCAAATTTACCTATTTCTTAATAAATGAGGATGTTATGCTTTTTAGAGTTTATTATTGATCTTAATAATTCTAAAGCTTCTTCTTCTTTGCCTTCTAGTTTTAGATAGTTTGCTAAGTGTACAATGTTTTGTACCTTTTACAATGCATTTATGGGTAAAAAATTCTGAGATAATTTTCTTATTTTTCATCAATTAGATAGACTAATAAAAGAAATTTAATAATAAGCTAATTTACTCTAAAAATAGAGATTTTTTTGATGAATAATAAATATCATTAAATGATTAACATAAATGAAACTTTTTCACGAGATATACCAAAAAACCAAAAATGAAGATTTAATTTGAAATCTTATCATAAAAATATTCTAATTTTGATTCAAAAACTCTAAACAAATTAATATTTCAAAAATAATGAGATCAATTTTAAATTTTGAATATGGTTCATATTTATTTATAATTAAACATCTGTAATATAAAATACTCTTCTTATTAATGAAGCAATCATCGTTTTTCATGAATAATTTATTGATAATAATAAGAGGTTTTAATATTTTTTGTTTACAAACTCAAAAAGCTCTTAATAACACGTTTCAAAATTATCATTAACAATGAAATGATAAATTTAAAAAGATTTCGCTTTTTCAATTTCAGTTTCTGCGTTTTTGATTCTCTTCTCTACAACGTCAGATGTTTCAGTCTATCTTCCAATTAATCTTTTTCTTAGAATGCTGATAGATGGTGGTAATACAAATATGTTCTCGCATTAGTTATTCAATTATTTATTTATTTTTTCAGCTCCTTAAACATCTATTTCTATGAGAGGTATTTTATTTTATTTTATGATATTGTTTATTTGATGTTTTGCTGCGCCATATAGATTTCCATGAACTTCACAAAACTCTAAAAACTCATTGTTCTTGATATTTTCGTCAAAAACATCTTTATTTACAAAATAATAATTGACACCATTCTTCTCATTAGGTCTTGGTTTTCTAGTAGTCAGACTCACACTGTAAACAAAGTTTTGGCTATTTTATAGCAATCTGGTGACTAATGATCCCTTTAATAAAATAATGGTGTACTTTGCCAACTCCACTAGGGCCAGAACTATTAAGGCTTAATTGTGGAAAATTAATAAATTGCTTTCATAAATATTTTATAACTAATATTAGTTAAAGATGATAAAATATGGAGTCATTGATTATTTTTGATTTTCAATTTTGGAACAATGCCTTGTCTATATTGGTAAAATAATATCTGATATTTTTCAAAATATATACAAAATCAATTCCAAAATTCATCTTTATTAAGATGATGATTAATCATTTCATATAAAACTTATGGTTAATCAAAAACAGCAGCATGGCCGGCATTGTAAATTGTTACTATAGTAAATTTCTCTGTTTTATTAAAATTGCCTACTGTTCTTCCATTACTTTTTAAAAATAGATTTTTGTGCTGATTTCCATTAATATAATTTATCTGACTTGAAGGTCGATAACCAATTTTGTGTTCCAGCTGGATTAATGCTTGCATTCATCTAACCATTGTAGAAAAGGACTGCTCCTTTGTTTAGTAAGTCTTCAATAATTTTTGTCAAATCAAAAGAGAAATCAGGTTCATTTGCTACTTTACTTATTAATTACAAACTTAAGTAATGGTATTTGTAATTCCAAATTAATCTTTATATTTACTCATAAAATTTATCCACTCATTTGATCTTATTTCTTCTTGTTTGCAGGATATTTGATACATCAATTTTTGCAAAATTTTCTAATTTATTAAAGTAGGATGTAAATGCTGATCCAGCTAATTTATCCTACTACTTTAATATCATCGATTATAAAAGTTATTCATCTTTCTTAGTAATTTGCTTAAATTCATCACTTATATATCCATTCACATATAAGTATGAGGATATTGACGAAGTTCAATGTAGCATACTTTATAATCCATTTTCAATTATAAATCCTTTATAACTAAACTTGATGTCACTATTAAGCAAACTATTCGAAAATAGAGGAGCAAAGTGACCTGGGTAACTGAATCCAGTAAGGTAAGTTTAAGCCAATTGGAATTCGGGAGGAACCTTGAAGAATTCAACCATAAATTCTACAAAATAACCTGAAGCTTGCAATGTTGAATTAATTGATATATCCCCTTAGCTAAATCCAGTTCAAAAGGTCGATCAACGAATAAAATCGAAGCCAACTATTATCTTTTTTTCGAATTGTAAAGTCAGCATCAGATTTTTCAATGTGGAATAGACCATTCAATTCATAAAATGCACTCTGTGATGAACAACCAGGACCTACTTAAAGCCAAATCAAGAAGATGATGTCTTTTGTGATTGTTTACTCGTTGAACCCTTTTTAGTAGACTAATTGATAAAACATATTATTCTTTTCTTTTAATAATCCTATAGCAGACCCACTTTCAAAATCAAAATCAATTGCTAAATACTTGTTATATAATTCTATGAGCTAGTAATTAATTTGGATGACCTTTCAAAGATTTCTTGATAATAGCTGCATGTGTAAAACAAACAAGGAGGCAAAAAATCATTACATAATTAATGCAATATTAACTATAAATTATATAAATGTTTGAATAACTTCCAATCTATTTATATAAATTTGAAATTGTAGACCTTAATTGACAAGAGTACAATAAGAAATTGATACAATAAAACCAAATCTTTGGTGAATCTTGTCATTAATTGTTTTTCAACTTACTTTTTTTTTAATTATGTAAAGGAAAAGAATATTTATTAATATCAAATAAATAGTGGTACAGTCCTAAAGCGAAAGGAAGAGAGTTTTAACATTTTCAATAGATACTATAATTGATATTTAGGTTTAATTGATAAAAACGATATAAATAAAAATAAATGGCAGATAAAGGTGGAGCCAAAGGAGGAGCAGGAGAAGAGGGAAAGGAAGGAGAATAAAGAGCCAGAGAAAGGATGTTGCGATAAATATGCTGAGTGCTTAGTCGTGACTGGTAAAGTAAATAATCTATTTCTACATTCAGGCTGTCTACTCTTGTTCCTGGCTATTAGTACCTGTATAAGAGAATGCTTGGCGTTTATTTGGTACCCATGCAAAGAAAGATATTGCGGGTCTTGATAATTGCCACAAGCATTACAATTAATGGAAGGATGAAGGTTTTACAGATGTATGAAATTGAGTACTGCAGATTTTGTTTTTATAATTAAATTTTCTCCATAAGATCATTTTTGATTTTCAGTTATTTACTTCAAATCTAGATACTATTTCGAAAAAATTGAAAGTCTTCAATATATTCATAAGTATAAATAT